AGCCTCTGCAGCTGGGCCTCCTCTTCCTTGCTCTCCTCCCCGCTGACCTCACCGCTCCCTCCCCCGGCCCCGCTTTTATACAGAATGATTATTTCAAGGAAGACCTGCCTTGGCAGCCCGACCAGAAATCTGGTCTGGAGGAGTGACCAGCAGTGCTGTCTGAAGGACAGGTCATGGCACGGCGCCAGGCTATTGCTACCATTGCGCCTGCCAAGAGTGCGCAGATGAAGAGCAAGGCTCATTGAAGACAAGATGGATTACTCTTCTTGCTGCAGCTGATTTATCTAGCAGCGATAACAAACACCCCACAGATATAACATAAATCTGGTGGGCCAGATAGAGCTGCCTTAAGGCCAAAATCGTTGGTCTGGAGCTGTAATTAGCCCCTGGCTGTGGCCTCCAGGTGGTGCTCGCTCGGGCCGTGCCCGGAGCCCTTCCGTGAGCGCGTGCTCTGCCCGCGCGGAGCTGAGCCCCACGCTGGCGTGGGACACAACGCGGGTCCTGGTGCTGGCGTGGGACACAGCGCGGGTCCTGGTGCTGGTGTGGGACACAGTGTGATCCCCATGCTGGTGTGGGATACGGCGTGAGCCCCGGCGCTGGCGTGGGACACTGCATGAACCCCAGTGCTGGTGTGGGACACAGCGTGAGCCCCACACTGGCATAAGACACAGCCCTGGCTGCTGGCGGGTGCAGCGACGCGGGCCTGGCCGGGAGAGGGTGACTGAGCCCGAGCCGGGTGCATCGCGGGAAGCGGGAAGCCCCGTCCGGGTTTTGCTCTGCAGGCTGTGCTGCTGTAACTCTTCCTGTGCTCTCTCCTTTCCAGGGCCTGTATATATTCCTCGTCTATGCAATCTATAACAGTGAGGTAAGAGATACCACGGTTGGGGTTCGTTCGATCTTCAGAGCAATGGTTTATTAGTAATTAAGGGGATGATTGGGATTTTGGCAGATGGAACAGGCAGCATAGCCCGGACTATGCTGCTGGGGCAGCTTTCACTTATGCCCCATGACTTGCTGGAGGATTTCCTGCTGTTATTGTGGCCTCCTCTAATGTCCTTGCTCTGCTGCAGGTGAGGAATGCCATCCAGAGAATGAAAGACAAGAAGAAAGCGCTGTCATTCACAGTAAGTTCAAGGAAGCCCTGCTGCTCACCGTTCATCGTATGTCTACTGGTGAGAGGCCCTACATAAGCACCTGGACTCTTCTAAGGGGACGGAATTGGAAATATAGGTCATTTTTCTCCCCGGTCATCCTGTGCAGGGAGAGTGGCAGAGTGGCAGAGTGTGCGCCTTCTTTGCAGTCCTACTGAGAAATGCAGTTAATCTACCCTGAGTCAGACTCAGTAGCAGCAATGCAGATGTGCTCAGTCCTTAATTTAAGAGCTGGGTTCACACTTTCCTAGGAAGGCAAATGTTGCAGTTTCCTGTGTCCTGTATCCCTTCTATGTCATTACAGAACTGCTCTCATCCCATCAACTACTTATCAAGCCCAAGAAATACAACCTCCTGGGAGACAGGGAAACTGAGTCCCTCTGCAGCCGAGGGTGTCGTGTCGAGTCCTGTGCAGAAAGAGCCTCCAGTGAAGAACATCACCAGCAAAGGTAGAGCTGTCTGCTGGTCCAGGCTGTGTGAGGAGGCTTGAATTGTAGTGTACATTCATTTGGCTCTGTGTCAAACCCGTTTGCACGCTGCGAAGGATACGGTTCAATGGCTATGTGAATGCTTTGGGATTGGTGCCAGAACCCCAGGGAGGGCAGGCAGCATGTCCTTATGGATTGCAGAGGGAGCAGGCTCGTTCCTGCTGGCTGGCTGAGCGTGGGCAGGGGGTTCTCCTAACCACATTACGCAGCATTGCATTCTCTTGAGTCAACAATCTGTGCTTGTATTTTAAAGTGAATTTTCTGGATAAAGGGAAGCAGTGGTGGCAGTAGGAAATAAGTTATTAAGCTTCAGGGGAATAAAGGTATTACATGCTCCAAACAATTTATGGATGCAATGATTTGCTTGCTTGGAATTGTGCAGATAACTTGGTTGGTCCCTTTGATTAAGTGGGAGATACTCAGAGGGCACAAAGCACAAGTTCTTGGAAAATGTAAACATTTCTAGCTTCCACACTCACTGTGCTGTTTCTCCCCTAGGAAACTTTGGAGCCAAAATTCCCGTGGGGATTTCATCAATTATGTCCCCAGAGAGACCGGTATGTAATGTTTTGTGTTATTTTTTACCACCTTCACCCATATCCACATATGTAGAAATGTGTCTAATGGTTCCAGCAAAGGGCTAGGGCTCTGGACACCTGGCAGTGTTACCAGCTCTGGCACAAACTCAGTGTTTTATGTTAGGCAAATCACAGAAGCTGACTCATCCATCCTGTTTGCAGACTGAGGATAACAATAAATGCCTCTGTCCCAGGATGTTACAAAAGTTACTCAGTGTTTGCAGTGGACTGAGTCTGTCAGCACAGCATATATGTGCTCTTCCTGAGGAGCACTCCAGACATGCAGCCTCTTTGTATTGAAAAGGAAGGTTTTAATACGAATTGTGTACATCCTGCTTTATTAAAATGTATACTTGTTATTAGCAGTGTGTTAGTTTATTTAAATCATTTGAGATTCATGGTTTTGATGCCCATAATTACTGCTCTTGGTAATTGAAAGAAAAGATAAGAAACGAGTATTTATTGTCTTCTGTAGGAGCATAAAGGAGAGCAGCTCCTTGCCAGCGAGCCCTGCTTGGCAGGGTGGCAGGGCCTTGGTCATGTCACCTGGCGTGTCGGGGCGGCAGCGCCGGGGCAGGCAGAGGGTCTAGGAAGCGACTGCTCCCCACGATGTGGGGCCAGCTCCGAGGAGGGAGCTCAGCCCCGCGTGGGGCTCAGCCCTGCGTCCCCCGGGGGCCGGCGGCTCCACTGCGGGAGGGGAGTGTTGGGACGGCGATTTATAGCGGGGGATATAAATGAGCAGAAAGAGATAGTGAATTTGAGTAAGTAAAGCATCACACAGAGGGTGGCAGAGGTCAAGGCTAGAAACTACCCCCAGGGACAGCAAATTAAAAAAGGGCAGCGGGGGCTTGTCTGTTCGTGTAGCCAAGTTACACCCGTGCAGCGAGGGCAGACCCTGTATTGTTCTACTAGCCGTTTCACTCCCCCTGCAGAGGTGAATCAGATCTAAAGCTCAGCAAGGCATAGCCTAAAGTGAGGAACAATTTAAATTTGACTACTCTGATACCACTTCCATCTCTCACTATTGAAATGATCATCAGTCCTTGTGCACTTGACATACAAGTGCTGTAATTTTCTCAGAATAAAATCTAACACTTCTTCACTGAGAGCCTCATATGAGAGTATCTCTCTCTCCCCCTCTCTAATATTTATCCTTTGAAAACCTGTGTCACATAGACAGCTCTTATTTATCCAATAGATAATACTTCTGTAGCTGGCATATCATTCTGAAGCCACTCAGTAAAATCCGTATTATCGTTTCTCGTTATTTCTGTTGTGGTTAACGCTGTTCCTCCCCTTGTGCTAAACACCTACCAGGAATCAGAGGTGATGCTTTTCTCAGCCAGCCAGGTGCTTGCTGTGCAAGCTGGGACCAGGGCTAAGCTACCTGGCACAAAATACGAGATGTGGGCTAAAGAGATTAGCCCAGAGGCCTGTGTTTTCTAATGCAGGGAGCATTAACATAGGAGGCAGCAGATTTCCTAAATGCCAAGGCCATGGTATTTCCTAGCAGGCAAAGATAGAAACTGCTTTCCTCCATGTGAGGGTCACCTAGGACTTCTCGGTATCTTTGCTACTTAAACGTATCATCTAGAATGGATTTGTTTCCTTTCCAACTAATGTGTCTTTGACAACCTTCAAAAGGCAGGGCTGATCCCGGTGACTGTGTGGGGGAGAGGGAAGCAAGGAGCCTTTTCCCCTGCAATTGGCTTCAGCAGGGCAGCCCTGCATCTCCTGCTCTTACAGCCCTGGGCCTGAGCCCAGCTCTGGGACAGCTCCGCGCCTGTGCACAGGGTGACACGGGTGACATGGGTGACACTACCCTCAGCTACAGATGCTGCTTTCTCCGCTCTTCAGTTATATAAGTCAGTGCTGTTTTTCCTGCTCCCTGAGTGAGTCATGCAGCTCACTGGAGGAGCTGTGAATTAAGAATGTCACTGGCAGCTGCACAATAGTTTGGAGAAAGAGAAGATGCTACTTAAAAATGTTTGAAAACACTTAAAATGACAAAACACTGACAGAGTGAAGGTGCAAACACAGGCATGATGTTCTTTGTGTTTCAGGATTTAAAATTTTTTGTGGTATCACTCTGTTCTTGGGCTGGGAGCAGGAATCCCACGTCTTGCAGTGTTAACCATCGCCTAGGCACACGGTGCAGGCTTCTGTGCAGTCTCTTCAGCGCAGCACGGGGGAGGAAGTTCACTCTACTGTTTTCCTGAATTTTCCTGTTGTCTCCAACATGATTTTCAGCCGCTGGGTCATCCCAGGGCTGGAGGGAGAGTCCCAGGAGAGCGTGCGCCGAGTGCAGCTGCAGCTCGCGGCCGGGGCGCTCTCTCTGCCTCCTGCTCCTCAGGGCACAGATTTTCCCAGGGAAATTCTCCACAGCATCGCGTCTCTCTGGGACGTGGACGCAGCCTTTGGTTCCTTGCGTTTGCAGCAGCTCGGCTGCAGGGAGGGCGCACGGAGGCAGCTCGGTGCCCGGAGCCGGGCGCGCTGGCCGCGAGGCAGCCAGGCCTCTGCTCCTGTTAACAGATGTTCTCTTCTCTTTCAGGCTGTAGAGCTAACAGCATTCAAGTCCTCAGGTAACGTTGGCCTGCCCTGTGGAGTGCTGGTTGGAGGGTGGAGGGCAAGTGATTGATTCTCCTCTTTGTTTTGCTTCCCCTCTGCTTTTAGAAAGTTTTTTATTATTATTATTTCCAGAACACCCTAGTGGGTTATTTAGCTATTTTCTCGTGCAAGTCGTCAGTATATTTTCAGAAAGCAACAGTGTGCATGCAGAGGAGAAGGGGAACATCGCAGCAGAGCATCTCTCTGAGTTTTCCAGCCAGTTTAGGTGAAGTGCCTAGGATTGCAGAGGAAAAGCCTGAGTCAGGCCCAGGCGTCTTGACCTGCAGGTTTCCTAGTGCCTCCCTCTCTGCAGATGAAGCGCTCGCGGCCGCGGCACAAAAGCTGCGGAAGCCCCGGCGCGGCGCAGAGCCGCCTCGCGTGCGGCCACCCTCTCCTCTCGCAGCGAGAGCAGCTCCTCGTGCCCGGGGGTGGCGGAGCCGCGTGGTTCAGCTCCTTCAGCCTGCGGGTGAATGAGAAGATCTCCTTGAACCACAAGAGCACTCCTGTGCGCACTTGTGCGCTCCACGCCGGAGCGCGGCGCGCGGCTGCTGGACCGCTGCTCCCGCTGCTCCCGCTGCTCCCCGGCCCTGGGCTCCAAGTCAAGTGCTTCCAGCTACTGCATAAAAGGAGAGCGGCAGCACTGCCCACTGCAGTGACGGCCCAGGAGGCTTCGGGCAGCTCTCCGCTGCGCGGGCACGTTCTTCAGCAACCCCGAGTGCTTGGAAGCAATGAGGGATAACAAAAAGCAGCTGCTAACGCTGTGTGCGTATCCAGGCAGCACCCGCGGGGCCGGGCACACCAGGCTGCCCCTGCAGGAGCAGCAGCCCCCGGGACGCTGCCGCGGGGGAGCAGCCGCCGGCCCCGGGGCCTCCCCGCGGCGCCGCCGGATCTGCAGCAAAACGAGGCTTGGGAGAGCAGAGAACACGCGGAATCTGAACTCTGACTGTTTTTGGCACTAATTCCAAAAGGACTGGAAGAGTTTGTGTGTATGTTTATGCATCTAGCTATATATTTTACTTATTCTCTTTCCTTTTCCAACTGAGGAATACTTTTGTTCAATTATTCTTGGTCTTTATTTTTTTTCCTTGGATCATTTTTGGAAGCTTCTTTGGAAATTGATGAATGGGAGACAAATCATTTCAGCAGAGAAACCACTTCCCCTTTTCTATTTTTTTTTCCCAAAATAGTTTAATGAAAAGAGGCCTATTTTGTCCTAAATAGTTCCACTTGAAGCATCCCAGCCAGCTGTAGGGACAGTTATCATGATACCAGGGTCAGTCCCAGAGGAGGGTGCACAGTGAGACAGGAGGAAAACCTTCACCCCCAGGGCCCAAAGAGGGGGAGACCCAGCGGGAGGGGAAAAGCTGGACCCAGGGTTTGTAGACGGGGAAACTGAGGCATAAGGCTTAAAGGGCTTGCCCACAATCTCCCAGGAGGACACCCCGGTAAGCATGGGCAGGCCTAGGGAATGCAGCAATGAGGAGCGTTGCAGCGTGCAGGCCCTGTGGGCTCCTCGTCCCGCCGCGGTACCGGCCTGTCCCGCGCAAGGGCTCAGCGCGCGGAGCGGCCGCGCGTTTCTGCGGGGCTGGCTGTGCCCGGCTGCACGGGATGTGTTGCACCCTGCATGCACCAAGGGGCTGGCCGGGGGGGGTTCACATATTTGCACAAACAATAACTACCGTCTTCCTTGTCTTGGAAAACAAGAGCTCCGAGAGGCCTCCACATCCCCGTCTCTTCAAGTGATGGCTTCATTGTTTCCCCACGATAATTTCATTATTCTGTTTGAATACGTTTATATGTTGCTAAGCCACACATAGCAACATGTAGCTCCTGGTCTCCACGGCCCCCTCTTGCTGTGATCAATACTAAGTAATTATGAAACTCTCCTTAAACCGTGTTAAGTGAAATTTATTTTAAAATGGCAAGAAAATTACTGATCTTTGGGATGCAGAGCCAGTCAGACAGCTGACGTGGTCATGGGAATGCACCTGCTGAGTGCCAACGGTGGGAGCTACGGACACGGCACGGACCTGCCGGCCCGGGGGC